TATTCATAATATATACAAGTGTATAACGCATTTCTCCATAAAAAAAAAGCTTTATAGGTGTAATCAAATTATTTATGATATCCTCTGCGCTAGTAGTACTTGATTATCAGAACACGAAACAAATTTTGCAGCAGTATAACTCGGAACAGACGAGCTCCGTTCTTTTTAATGAAAACGCGGGATAAAAAAATAACAATTTGTAATATATATATATTTTCAAATTACTATTATACCTACTAATTATACCAGCGACGTTTTTAAAATGGCCAACGAGTTTTTAAAATATAAGAGACACGACGTGGCGAGCGTTCAATTATTTCGAAAAGTTATAATGAAAACCTAACGGCATAAACCGCGGTACCTAACCTACCCTACCCACGCAAGTTATGCGACCACAATATCACTGGGGGTTTTTTTTATCTCGATGTTGTGCTTTTCACGATATTGTGGAATTTAAACGTAGATACGTCTTATATATGCGATAAATAACACGATGCTGACAATTCCCGTCTGTTTTTTTTGCGGAGGAAAAGTATTATAATATGAAGGTAGGTCTTTATTTTTTCTCCATAATGAAATTTGTGATATATATTTTTTCAAATTTCTATTATACCTACTTATTATACCCGTGACGTTTTTAAAATATAAGAGACACGGACGTCGAGATCGTTCAATTATTTCGAAAAGTTATAATGAAAACCTAACTGCATAAACCGCGGTACCTAATCTACCCTACCCACGCAAGTTATGCAACCACAATATCACTGGGGTTTTTTTTTTATCTTGATGTTGTGCTTTTCACGATATTATGGAATTTAAACGTAGATACGTCTTATAAATAACACGATGCTGACAATTCCCGTCTGTTTTTTTTTTGCGGAGGAAAAGTATTATAATATGAAGGTAGGTCTTTATTTTTTCTCCATAATACAATTTGTGATGTATATTTTTTCAAATTTCTATTATACCTACTTAGTACTTATTATCCCCGTAACGTTTTTAAAATATAAGAGACACGGACGTCGCGATCGTTCAATTATTTCGAAAAGTTATAATGAAAACCTAACGGCATAAACCGCGTTTTGGTACCTAACCTGCCCTACCACGCAAGTTATGCGACCACAATATCACTGGGGTTTTTTTTTTATCTCGATGTTGTGCTTTTCACTATATTGTGGAATTTAAACGTTGATACGTCTTTGCTCATATATATGCAATAAATAACACGACCCTGACGATTCCCGTCTGTTTAAATTTTCGGAGGAAAAGTATTATATGTAAGTAGGTATTCACTTGTACCGCCCTTCCAAACGATCTCGCATTTGTCAGCGTGCATTACTTACATAATAATATTGCTCTGTGAATTATATTTTATCGTCTTACACGATAACTCGTCATCGCCAACAATATAATATTATTATTAAGTGGTGCTCTGCAATTTTTTGATGTATATTTTTTCAAATTTCTATTATACCTACTTATTATACCCGCGACGTTTTTAAAATATAAGAGACAGCGTTAAATTATTTCGAAAAGTTATAATGAAAACCTAACGGCATAAACCACGGTACCTAACCTACCCTACCCACGTAAGTTATGCGACCACAATATCACTGGGGTTTTTTTTTATCCCGACGTTGTGCTTTTCACGATATTGTAAAATTTTAAATTTGATACGTCTTACATATGCGATAAATAACACTGACAATTCCCTTCTGTTCACTTGCGGAGGAAAATATAAAGGTAGGTCTTTATTTTTTCTCGTGCTGCCCTTTCAAACGATCGCGCATTTATCAAATTGCATTACTTACATAATAATATTGCTCTGCGAATTATATTTTATCGTCTTACACGATAACTCGTCACCGCGCCAACAACATAATATTATTAAGTGGTGCTCTGCAATTTGTGATAAGTACCTACGGTTTATTCGGTGAGAAAACATATTATTTTAGGTCCACGACATAGCAATAATCAATATTATTTATTATAATATCGTCGCACAAGTGTACATTATTACCACCTGTGCCAATGATTTTCAAATCGGTTTCAGCAGTTTACGGAAATATAATGGAAAATAAAATTAGATATAATGTCGGGACGAGAGCGTTTTTCGAGAAACGCGCGTAAGTACACATTATATTGCCAAGTAATTTATTTTCGAATTACACGCGCGTGGTGGTAATATTTCACATATTATATTATTATAAATCGTACAGGCAATAAGCCTCGGCGGGATCACGAGATGTTTTCAATGACGACGATGATGATTACGATTATAATAACGGTCGGATAAAATAAATAACGATAATGTGATATCGGTTTTAAACAATTTATTTTGTATATTTTTATGGATATTCCCTCGACGGGCTGAATCCGAAAGCTACTATAGTCTCCGACCGAGTGTGTGTGTGGTGCGATTATTATACCTATCTAGACGTGCTCTGGCTGGCGAAAGAGCAGCAACCGATAAGACGCGTCGAAAGTTTGAATAATATTATAAGCGAACACCAAAGTTGTGTCGCTCGCGATTACGACGACGAGTGCGCTTTTAAAATATTATATCAAACATATCATTATTATAATATTACGTACACACCGTCGCGATATTTAAGCCGCCGGTGGGCTTATCGTTTAAATTCCGATATTATTATTATACGAGCGATGAATTTCCACTTGGACGCGTCCGAGCTGCAAATAATAATAATAATTATTATAATAGTTATTATTATTATGTGCTCTGCAGAACTATATAATATTATGTGTGTGGCAGTAGTCTGTCTGTCTCGCCCCGTCGCATTAGAGGTGCTCCCTCCACCAATAATCTAATTTGGACCAGTCTATCTGGTCGATTTGTGGTGGGGGAGGGGATGAGAGGTAAAAAATTGTACCAGCCTGTATATGCATATATATACCACGCAGGTACAGTCCTGCATGTAACTATAATCGGATTTTCATTCGATCCGACTCGTATTATCTCGTCCACGTAAAATTACATAACAATTTAAGCTTGTCGGAGCAGAAAATTTGGAATATTGGCAATTTATTATATAATAATATAGGCATGTCCATATATGTATATAATTTATGCTTATGATAACGTAACTAATGTGAGAGAACTAAATTATAATAACTTAAAAATTCTAAAATATATTTTCAAATGCTCCTTAAAATGATTTCCAACTGTTTAACGTTTAGCAAAATTGCTTATAAAATTGAAAAAAAAAACGTTTTCGTTTTTTGAATAAATATTATAATAGTTTTGATTTTAAGGTTTGTTAAATCAAAAAATAATTTCTTTACAGAACGTAGTGTAGAAGCTAATAAATTCGTACACTCACCGTAAATCGGACATATCACGGGAAGTACTTAAACCTTCCACTATTATTGTTCTAAAACCACAAAAATAATATATTATGGTGCACCGACACTCGACAGCCTCCGATAGCCTTATTAATATAATATAGGTATAGGTAGGTCGAATCACGAAGGGGCGGCTCAACCAAACCAATCCCCTAATCGAATCTGTACGCTGGTATAAAATAGTATTTTGTGAGTAGACAAGTTCGGTGACGCGTACTGACAGATCACGTGCGAAGGACCAGGGGCTTAATATTGTTATAAAAATATTTTTAGAAATAAATTTCGTACACACCTACCTAGGTTATGATCATATTATTATATACAATATATATATATTTTTTTTCAAAATTATTTTCTCTCGCCTCGGAGACGATGGCGTTAATGCAGCTGCGGAATAAAAAAACGCCACCCCCCATTCACCACCGTCTCGGAGCTCTCCAAGTTCTCCGCGGGGTAGATAGTGGGTTGCGATGGAGGGGGGGGGCTATGCAACATGAATACGCCCCGCCCCGTTCGCGCCCCCGGACGCTTGGCAATCGATACAGATATATATATATTATATACACGACGTTCGAGAATATTATTATAATGTGACTTATGAGTGTTATATGCCCTTATCAGCTTGTTGTTGTTACAATATATTATCGTCATAATCGTCGTCGTAGTCATCGTCATCTCTCCAGCTCCGAAGGGCTGTTTCGCAGCAGAGATTGGTCGAAAATTGGCGATGATAATATTTCGTCGAGAGATCGTACGATTACGACGACGACAAAACGGAACTCTCAGCCGAAGAGTAAGTGCGTAGGCACGCGGCGCAGAAACACGATAATACAATACAATATATTTATTATTATTTTACTTAAATATTATCATCCTCATCACAGGTAAGTACTTTGAGTATCGCGTCGTGAAACCTACGAATGGTGGGTGGGTGTGTGTGGTATGGGAAGGGTGCTGGATGTGAAAATATAGTTAGTTAAATATGGTAGGAGGTACTTATATTATAATGGTACGTAGGTTAGGTACCACATGTAACAGACCGATGTAAAATACCACATACCGATGTAAAACCTCTTTCTGGAAATTTTTGAACATTTGAAAATTTTCAACCGTTTACGATGTTTATTATTTTTTTTTTATTTACTCGACGAATTCGACTTTGATTGAAATAATAAAAAACAGAGTTTCATAAAATTATCATTATGGAAAAACTGCTTGAAAATTTTAAAAATTACTCTTATCTTCATGTTTTACAATGTAGATAGATTGTTTTCTAAATAATTGTCTAAGTGAAAAAAAACCCGCCAACATCATTAGACCTGGCCAGGAAGAAATATATATATTTTAAGGTCATTAAAAATAATCGCTCTTTAGGTTCTAGTTTATCTAAAATATATGGATGCGAAAGGAAAAACTGACGTTTCCGTTAGGAAAAAAACTGTTATATTTTGATCGATAGTCCATTTACAACGATGGTGGTTTATGGAGGGTTCAATTATTGTTAAGTGGGGTTGCTCCGGAAACGGTTGTACGCGTCCAAAGTAGCGTCCGTGGAGTGTTGAATTTGGTGGGGGGGGGGCTCTCCGGAAACCGGTTTCTCGCGCCTAACTCCCGGCCGCCCCGGCTGGACCGCGTACCTGAGCCGAAGTCTTGCCGGACACGGAAGAATGGGCCGACTTGGACGGCGACTTGATGGCTAACCCGCCGTTGGCCGAGCTCTTCTTCCGGTCGGTCGATGTCCGGCCATCGGCCGACGAACACGACGACGGTGGCCGCGACGGCTGCTTGACCAGCCGCAGACTGGACGCCGCGCCGTACGCTGACCCGTCCCTGGGCACCATCGTCACCACCACGGAAGCCCGCCGGTCACTGTCGCCACCGTCGTCTCGCCGCGGCATCAGAGGCATTTCCAGTTCGTCTCGGTCGTCCCCCATGGCGCGCCGCGGACTGGACAGCCCGTCCGGACGGCACGTAGTTACGAGTTCTATGTATAATTATACCGTAGTATTATATTACTATCGGCGTCGTCTTATCGCGCGCGTAGGTCAAGTCATGCAGGTGTCACGACAGCCTGTGCGTGTGAAGCGAGCGCTCGCGGTGCACTTTCGGCGCGTTCAGCGCATCAGACGGCACTCGCGTGACCCGACGCCCGCCGCGAGAACCCAGCAATGTGTCCGCCGCGTCGCGCTCGCGAGCCTACCGCTCGACGGCGGCCGCGGCGGTAGCGGCGGTGCTCGTCGCGCTCGCTCGCCAGATTCACACAGTGTGACCACGGCGACCGCCGAGCACGGTAATCGATCCCACAAAACGATGACCAAAACGGTGACTGTGATAACAACTAGGGCTGGGATTTTGGTGCAATGTCGTATTTTTATGATGTTCAAAAACGCATCTCAGTAAGTGGAAAATTCGTCTTAAAGTACCTATCCTGCGATGATCACACAGTTATTTTTATTTCGAATTTTTCGTCAAACCAAATTTTGTAGGGCGTCTGTAGTCGTATTTTTGTAAAATTTTTCAAATTATCGGAAAATTGTTCACGATTTATTTTTGAACTGAAAGTGAATATTATTGTTACACAAAATGTAGTTTTGTAATTCAAATTAGCATACTATTGAATTGATATAGGTGCATTATATTGGTTAGTCGAAAGTGTAGGATTCGTGTAATACTCTTAGCGTTCTTAGCGTTCACGTTTTAATATCTACAAATAATTATAGACGATAACAATACTCCATTAAGTTGCTTCATTCTTTGTTATTCCAAAGTGTTTTCCAAAAAAAAACACCACAGTACATAACTACATGGTTCTTTATACTAAGTTCTTAAACCGTAAGAAATACATCTTTAAAAGCATTTTTATAGTGCATGTTTAGAGGCGGTTTTGCATATTTTTTAGGACATAAAAATTGCAAAAGTTGTGACTAATGAACGCCGCAGCTGACACGGAGCCTTGCGACAGTAGGTACCTTTGATATTTTTGAAAATCGCAAGTCGTGGATAAATAATGGACTTACGGCCGATTGAGCTTTTCGTTACTTAGAGTGCAGTCTGTCCGCCATTAACTGTACGTCGTTTAAACGTCGCCGAGAACATTATTAATAATAATAATATATTATTATAGTCGTCGTCGTAATGCAATACTGTCGTTAAGAACGAGTGTGTTTGAGCAGATCCTTTATATGTCGTAGGGACGTGACCAGGCGACAGAGGACAAGTCTGTTTATTGTTTTCACTGTAGGTTTTCCCTGTGTTGTGCTTCGTTTTTGATTTTCTTTCGACGCTAACCACGTGATCATATGATATATCATTATATTATACATAGCCGGAGCCAGAATAGTTTGTGTTCAGAGCATATTGTGCATAATTTAAATCAGTCTGTAAACTTGTTGGGGTAATCCACCTACGAGTCAAGGCTCGCTCTAAACCCCCCCCCCCAAATATTTCCTTACTCATCTTCGTCAGTATAATAAATATGAATACGTGTTAATTGCGGTTTCTAGTCCCCTCCCCGCATATGTTCAAAAATATTTTCATCAATACGTACAGACCAGAAAAAAACGAAAAATGGCCACGATTTTAGATTTCCCACACGGCGGACTATCTTCCTCCTTCCTAAGAGGACGGAGACTTTTAATAATTATATCGCGATCAGCTCTAAAGGCACGAATCGTTGCAGGGTGGCGGGCGCTAAACAACGTTTTATACCGATCGCATAATGCTCTTATTATTAGTGGTATTGTTATTACTCATACCCACTCTTATACCCTGCACACATCCACACACCCACACACCCACACACATGTATGGTATATTATACCGTATAATATAGACACCGTGTCGCCTGTTATAATGCGACTAGCGCACTATATATTGGCACGGTTCGCACGTTTTTAACACCGCGATATTCCACAACGGTCCATTACCGGTAGACTTTATGGGACCTATATTATAGTAATAAGACTGCAGACTCCAGTATTGTCGAGGACTTTTGCGAAGTGTGCGTTTTACGAACGGATTACCATCATCGGATTACCATCACGTTATGCATAATGATATTATACAGGACGATTGACCGAGCGTGCTCGACCCAATTCATTCCTCTAATATAATAATGAGTTTATTTAAATTCTGGTTTTCGGAACTTCAAAGTATATTTACTGTAATATTATTTCGATTTTTTCGACCGATTAAGGAGTGTCCCGAGGCGGTACAAACTTCTTTTTCTTCAAACGAGAACCAATATTTTTTTATTGCAGATTGTTAAGAAGTCGATTTTTTTTGAAAACATCGATGAATCTTAACCATAATTCGTAAAAATATAGTTTCCGAACTGATAAGATGTTTGAACTAATAGGGTACTGCAGGTCCTTATAAATGGTTTTATAAAAATATAAAAATGATATAATTTTTCATCCAGTAGTTTTTTAAACATATTATAAAAGCGGTTTTATATACTTAAAATAACATTTTCAAAAAATTAAATAAACAAGTAGTAGGAAAAAAAGAGTGATTCTAAAAAAATAATTTTTATCGCCACAGGATACTCCTTTATGGGTATACAAAATCAGAAATCAGTTCATATTTGCAAACACTGTTATGAAGTAAAGAATAAGACACTCAAATCATAACTCCAATACATTCATTATTAGAAGAAAATAATAAATTGTGGTGAGCACGCTTGGTGAATCACCCTGTATACAGACAAAATTGTAATACAAAATGTATTTGGTTCATTATATACACGTTTCGATAGCACATTGCGATCGTATTAAAATGTATTTCGGTTCGCACTGTTCCACCTAAACGGTATACCATTATCATATAGCACAATATTATACGACACAGATTTAGATAATATCTACAGATATAACGTATATTATTTTAATTATAGTACTGTGATACAGTGTTTAAAATATTGTTATATTTTTACCAGTATACGTTATCATATAATAATATCAATAATGTTATTTTATAGAATGTCGATGATTGTATAGTTGTTTTAATATTTTGAAGATGTATACAAGTAGATAGTGGTTGGGTAATTGCGTCGGGCGCCAATCGCCGACGAGATAATAAAACATTAAAAAAAATGTTCTAGTAAATAGTAAATAGTTAAAACGGTATGTTATAATAATATATTATTAATCGTATATAGTAATTTATATTACTGCAGTTAATAGTGGTTCATTTGTCGGTTCGTTTATCGTGACGGGTCAAATCCGTCATTCGGACTACAAATGAGACTACATTCGAGAGTGTAATCATAATATAAAATATTTAGTATGTTATTCTGAAGAATAAGAACTATTATACGCAGAAAAATAAAACACATATTATGTTCAACACAGCGTAATTTTCGTTGAAGAATAATATGCATAGGGTTGCAGACGTTTGATCGTGTTTAGCTGAAAGACAGGATTGAGCTATCAAACGGACCACCTGTTAAAAGTTATAAGTTATTACCACAATCCATCGTGTGTACGAGGTGTGAACATTATGCGTGTAAGTTCTAAAATATGTTTTGTACATGTCGTATAAATATATAATAAAATATTAATATATATTATGCAAAGAGTGCAGCCTATTTGTAATTCAATGTTCACTCTCTGGCTCTAGTTATTTTTAAACAACAATATCATAAAGTGTATAAGACGCCCGACAGCGATATAAAAGTAACTTTGCGAAAATATAATATTTAGTAGGTACTATTGCTAAGATATTCTGTTTGACTTAACTAGTTTTTCTCGAGTCTCGTATTTATTTATTCATTCATTATTCATATGTATTAAGGGCACTTCTTATTATTTCTTAATGCGGTTTAGAATCTAAATACAGTTTGTGAACAAATAACCGAGTTAACGATTTCATAAATATTATACGAATATAAAAAATCCTTGAGGGTGGTTCAACAACAATTCACAGCTGAGATATGTGTATAAAAAAAACCGCATTCATTATATGATATAGGCATATAAATAATAAGTCTGCCCGAGTCGAATCGTAAAGACGTGGAGTAGACAAAACACATTAAACGTAATAGTTTTAACTGAACACAATAAAATATTTAGTATGACAGTATTGCTTCAATATAATATAGAGGTCTCGTATGTACTGCAAAGAAGTATACACGAAAAGTTTATACGAATTACGCCGGTGGATTTTATTTGGTTAGCAACTTATTGGTGAAAAGGATCGCTTTCCGTGGAATTTCTACGTTTTAGCGAGTAAAGACGTGTTTAAGTTCGAATACCCTCCAGATCGCGCCAAACGTATGTATATTATGTAAGAGGTTACAGTACCTATATAATATTATGTATCACAGTGTTGGCATAGATCCAGTGTTTGGAAAGAACGTCGTTCATGAACTCACGTTCACGTTCTTATATAGTGAACGATATGTGAACGTCACTCGTTTTTTGCAAATAGAACGTGAACGACGTTTATATTTTTAATGAATTTGATCGTTTTTTAAGACGTTCGATTTATTTACCATTTAATAAATAATAAATGTATAAAATATATTAATTAATTATATTGTAATGACAATATTTTAATTTTTTCCATTATAACTTCTATAATATTTGTTTGATTGCAAAATATATTAATTAAATACGAGAAATCCCAGTGTCCCCGGCTAGACATACAACAACAATAATATTATGATTTCTACGAATTTAATAAATACCTATATCCTAGTATTGGCTTAATTTTATCACTAGGAAATCCTTATCAAAATGACCCTCAAATAACGTGTCAGATATTAAAAATTAATTCAGATACTTTATAAATTTTATTTTTATTTTTTTGATTGAGTCGTTTATGTTTAAGGGTTTTTAATTTTTAAATTGACTGCAGGCTAACGATTCATAACAAAAAAACTTAAATGAACCACCCAATAAACGCATTCGGTTTTTTTAAAAGAACTTGAACG